TTAATGGGATACCACAGGCAATTGAGCAGCCACAGCTGAGTGCGTCATAAGTACTCTTGGGCACAATCCAAGTGGGATCTTGGCTCCATCTCAGCTGGCTTGGATGTCGAGACCCACACTCTCGCCTACACCAGAGGTCAGGCAGGAGTCAGTGGGGGCAGCAACCCAACAGCCTTTCCCCACATCTGCAGCAAGGCATCAAACAAGCCTTTCACATGCACTCCAACCTAACAGGAATCCTAGGCAAGGTATCTCTCAGTCTGCTCAGAGCAGAACATGGAGGAACAAACGCCAGCTGTGGATACTTGGCTCTCAAGAGCATGATCCTGACCCAGCCGCTGGAGAAACAGAGAAGCCCTGAGGATTGGGATGCAGCAGTACCAAACCAGGTCGCTTCCCCAGAGCTTAAATATAGCCACTCTTCTCCGGTTTCCCATTTGACATTTCTGTCCTGGCAAGAGTGAGCACGCAATGTAGTAATGACAACTCCCCTCCACACTGGTTATGCGGCTGCCAAGAAAAGCTGCCAGTTAAGGAAAGGGACAAGAGACTCCAGCAACTTGATCCAGATTCAGAGGCATATTTCAGAAAGTTTATTCAGAGGAGACCCAATTCCATTAGAGCTCCCTACGAAGCACAGTCTGGGGGAGAATCCAGTCCCACACAGGAGTGCAATGGGACTTGTTCCCTTCAGAACGTGAATCTGAGAACTGTGGCTTTATAGAATTTATTTTACCGTCACATGGGGGGCATTAATACGCTTCGCAATGCAAAAATAAACACAAGCCTTTGGGGGGGGGCGCGTTTAGCAGCATGGAGGTTACAGGCAATCCTTTGCTGGAAAGGAAGTCTTGGTTACAATGGGAGCACCCAGAATATCTCTCGAGACAAAGTTCTAGCGATTAGTCAGCCTCTACACAGTGACCAACACAATACTGTTCTTTCCAAAAGACAAGGGGCATGGTCTCCCAGGAGTTATTGTGCATTAGATGCATCAATGGGCTTATTGATGCATTCTATGTGCTCTGGCTCAGCTCGCATTCACTTCAATGGGCCTTGTACATGCAAACTTGTCAGCAGATTGTGCTCAAGAGCAAGATTTAATATCCCTCAGACTTTTATGTGATACACACCTATTGCAGCACCTTTTAAAGGATCTATGGCAGGTATGCCTGGCCCGGGGGCCTAATTCAGCCCGCTGGTCAATTTAATCCGGCCCCTGTGGCGGTTGATTTCAACAACTTCAATCCTAAAAAAGCTCAACAACTTTTGGTCGGCCCTCATGCATGTTCACGTCATAAAATCTGGCCCTCTTTGAAAAAAAGTTTGGACACCCCTGACCTATGGTATTACTTTTCTCTTGCTGCCTTGAAAAGTTCTTCATCATCATGCCCTGCGCTCCCTATCTCTACCTGAAAAGTAGAAACTGACCACCACCAGATACTTGGAAGGTACACCTGCTTGCTGAGAATCTCCTTGTTACTGCTGCATCAAACAAAGTGAGTTCTTTAACATACCCGCAATATACTGATTAGCCTGTCAGATGCCGCAGAACACTTTCCATTGGAACATATTCCTAATATACAAATTGAAAGTGCACCAAATAATAATAAAATTAAGAAGAAGAAGAAGAAGATTGGGACTTGGTGAGGTTGGGGGTTTGATTCCCCAAGCTTCTCCCATGACTCTAATAGCAGTCTGTGTTGTTGTGGTGGTGGTAGCAGCAGCAGCAGCAGCACAGCAGCAGTAATGAAGCCTACAGAGACCCCATCATCAGATATCATGCTAGGCAGGCACTGAGAGAGCCCAAAGCAGTCTAATAGGAGTCTCTAATAGTCAGCAAGCCAGGACAGCCAATCATAGAGGCAAACTAGGCATCCACTTCGGGTATCCAAACGTCAAAGGTGTCCCCCTCCCAGGATATAATTATCTTGCTGAAAGAGCCACTAACTGCACTCCTGAAAGAAACAAGACAGAAGAAGCTAGCAGGTTCTCCTGTAGGGCGACTCTCCCTGCATTCCAGGGGCACCCCTGAGAATCTTTGGCTATCTATTGGCCCATGAAGACTGTTGCAAAGAGGAAGAATAAAAGAAGCGGGCCTCAGTTAAGCATAAAGATAAGAAAATAGTATCCTAATGAGCCCCCGGAATTTCCCTTTTGCAGACGGGGAACTGAGGCTAGGAGATGACGACTTGACTAAGGCCACCCAGGGTGCCCAAGGTTGTGGTGGGGTTTGAATCCTGCTCTTTCATCCGCTGGACCACAATTGGAACCTGCTGCTGCTGCTACCGCCTTCCTGGCCGTTTAACTTTCAGCCTGTTCCGCAGAGCTGCAGACGCAGCTACAATAATTCTGATCCCTTCCTTTGCCCTCACATGACCCCTGAAACAAGGGCTGTTTTATCATGATGTTCTGTATCATGCAGCCACCCGATGCAAAAGTTGCACCAGACACTTAATGCCAACGGTGACGCACTATCTGGAGTCCCAAACTAACTTTTACGCAAGGCAGCAGCGCTGTCTGAAAAGGAGACCCGAAGGAAAAACAAGGCTCTTTGTACACACATTCCCAAAAGCCTCAAAGAGAGACAGGGAGGGGTCGTGCAACGTCTGGGTGGCTGGAGAGGGGAGGGTGTAAGCCGGGCTGCTGCCCACTGGCCTGTGGCAGATGTGACTTGAATCTGCCTTATGTCAGCCACTGCCAGACAGACCTTCGCCTTTGCACTTGGCCTGGAGATTTCCTGCCTAGCATGCGTGCAGGAAAAGGGTGGCACCTCTCAGAGAAAGATCAAAACCAGAAGCAGACACAAGCGCAGACAGATGTGTCCGTCCCCAAATCCCTTCCTTCTAATGGGCACATGGAAACTGATTGAAGCTCTTGCAGGGAGACACTTGGTACAGATCCCAAAAGGGCTTCAATTCCAAAGCATGCGGGTAGCAGCAAGATCTGCATGGGATGGCAGCTCCAAAACAGAGGGCACTACAATGCATGCAAACCCTCTGACCATGGGCATAGCCAGGATTTTTGTTAGGGGGGGCAGGACTTTCATGGGGGGGCCCCGAACCGATGTGACTGGTCAGTTAGTTAAGCATTTCTATTGTTTTAGTTGATGTGGGGGCAGCTCCTCCCCCCCCCCCCCGCTATGCCCATGCCTCTGAGCTGGCCAAAAAAGATACTCCTTTTATTTCATACACTTTGCTCCACACTTCATCACACTGCGTTTCCAGCACGGCTATCCACATCATTGGAAATAATGTGCCACAAACAATACCGTCAACCCACAGATAAGGCACCCAGGGCAAGGAGTGCAACTCCTGAATCACACGAACAATGCAAGAGCGTCATCCGGAGAGGCGATATTGTCCAGAGCGTCAGAGAAGTTGACAGGTACCCTCGGGCCAATGCTGCAGAGCCTGCGGGGTTGCGACTGCCCTTGGGAATGTTCATGGGTGCCAGCCCAAAAGATGCGCCTCCGCCGTCCACAGCAACGCCAGAGAGGAGGCCGAGTCACACCCCTCCAGGAAACTTTCCCTTTGCTACAGAGGTGCCAAGAAACAGCGCGCGATCCCACGGGTGTGCTAAGGGGAGGTTGCCACTCCACGCTAAGCGGTCCCAACTCTTGGACACTTCTAGGATCTCCACCCAGAGGGAGGGTCAGGAAATGTCCCCTGTTCCCCGACTAGAGCTGGAGCAAGTCCCTGGAGTGCGCGCCACTCACGGGGAAAACTTTAGTCGCCCCCTCCCCGCGATCGGGGCCAAGCCCCCGCCGAGCCCGAGCCCGAGCAAGGCACCCACCTCACCGACTTGGGTAGCAGCCGGTGCCGCTTAATGTCCTCTTCGCTGAAGGAGAAATGCATGTCCGCCTCGGCGGCGCGCAGGCGACCCGGCGGCAGCGCGAGGAAGCGAGGCGCCGCGAAGGCCGGGGCCGGCATGAAAGATCCGGGGTGGGGGGAAGCGCGCACCGAGGAGGAAAAGCGCCCTCGAAGTGGCCCGGAGTGTGCCGGGGCGGCCCGCGGCGCTCCGGATCTTCCCGCGAATCCGCACAAAGCGGAGCGGCTCCGGAGGGGCGGGGCGGGGCGGAGCTGGCGACTGCAAACCCCGGCGCCGGATTCTCCAAGGGCGGCGCGGGGCGGAGAGCGAGCCGGCGCCCGCGCCACGCGCAACCAGGGCAGTCCCGCGGACGCCACTCTCCTCGCCGGCGCCAGGCTCTGCGCGGATCCTTGGAGGGGAAGGGCCCTCGCCCCGGGGCTTCGCGCGCAACAGCCCCCGGATTCAGTCTCTGGCATTTCCAGGTAGACCCCGCCCGCCCCCCGAGAACCTGCCGGTCAAACCAGCACCCGTGGCCAACCGGGAGCCCAGGGTGGGGACCCTGCGAGCAGGCCATCCGCACCAGAGGCCCCCGGTGGCTTCCAGCAACGGGTATTCGGAAGCATCGCTGCGGACGACGAGGAACGGCTCCGGGCTGAACCCCGGGGGAGCCGCGGCCAGACAGGGCGCACGAATTACGCACGGCAATGGTCAGCTGGAGGGAACCACTGGCTGACCTGTTGCAAGGCAGCCTCCCTCCTGCGTTCCTTCCTTCTTGGAAAGTTGTCCAGTGGTGCTTATTCCCCTATGAGTGGCCCCCAGAGATTGTAGACCTCGCCGCCCTGCGCTCCTAGGTGGTCACCTCCCCAAGCAGATCTAACTGCTGAGGTCAGGACTCAGATTGTCGTGACCTCCACCCCAGAATTTCCTTCTCAGTACTGAGCTGAGCTCTGGGGCATGTGAAGGAAAGTAAGTGTTACTGAGCATGTCCAGAGTGCTCCTTCCTTTGCAAAGTCACAGCTTTCCATAATCCTACGCCCAGAGCTGGAATCAAAAAGTTTTCTGAATGCTTTCACACAGTGTTGTCTCTTATCATCCGCTTGCTGCAAGACACAAATCACCTTTGGTACCCCTACAGCCTACTAGATCAGGGATCATCTAGTCCAACCCCCTGGAATGCAATAATATGCGGCTGTCCCACGCAGGGATCAAACCTGCAACCTTGGCATTATCAGCACCACTCTCTAGCCAGCTGAGCTATCTAGGCATGTTGCACCCAACCCACGGACCTCCTCTTCCAGGCCTTCTACGAGCCAGGGTTGGGGCCTGCTGACCCATCAGTTTGGCTTCGCTACGTTTGCTGAAGAATAAAAATCAAAATCCCAGAGCACACTGGATTGGTCCACTGGAATACCTACTGTCAACCAACTACCCTAGTGCTGTGTTTCTAGGCACAAAATCCAGCCTTTAAAGCCCTGTCTACGAGCAGTTTTGTTATTTGTTTTGGTCCCGGCGTTTTTCCCGGGAAAGCCCGCATTTTACTGGTGAATTTGTGCAAACAGCAGTTGGGTTTTCCATGCATTGCCGTTTGCTCCCATTCAATGGTAAAATGTGGGTTTTCCCAGGGAAATTTTAAAAAAGCTCAGACAGGGAGCTTTAAAGTGCAGACGTGCCTGAAAAGCAAAGTGCGAAAGGGAGTCTGGATGAGCCCACAGTTCAACCACCAGAACATTTTACTGATGGTGAGCATTCATACCATTGTTCTCTATTAACTGAAATCAGCTGCCATACATAGCTGTATGCTTGTGAAACATGGACTACATATAACTGCCATCGCCAACTCCTCGAAAGATTCCATCAATGATATCTCCGAAAATTTTTACACATCACTTGGGAAGACAGGCAAATTAATGCCAGCATACCGGAAGAAGCAAAGATTATCAGTGTGGAAGCAAGGATTCTTCAACATCAACTTCGTTGGACTGGTCATGTTGTTCGGATGCCTGATTATCATCTTCCAAAGCAACTACTCTATTCCGAACTTAAAAATGGAAAGCATAATGCTGGTGGTCAACAAAAGATGTTCAAAGACTCTGTCAAGGCAAATCTAAAAAAAAAAGTAGTATAAACACCGACAACTGGGAAACACTGGCCTGCGCTTTGAAGACTCTCAAACACAGGATGAAAACACAGGATGAAAGGGAGAAACACACTTGGCAAAGGGAGGAAGGCACGCTTGGCAAATCCACACCGTGATCAACTCCCGCCCAGAAACCTATGTCCCCACTGTGTAAGGACATGTGGATCCAGAATTGGCCTCCACAGTCACTTACAGACTCACTATTAAAACTGTGTTCATGGAAGACAATCTTGCTCGGCTACGAGTGATTGCCAAAGAAAAAGACACTCTAAGGGAGTATTTCAGAGAATGGCAACAATTTGGATTTTACCTTGGATTTTACCCTACAATGTCTGTGGGCACAGTGAGGATTAAGCATAAATGTTCTTGTCTCACTGAGAGCAAGGTGTATCTAGTCCCACAATCTGTTTGCAGCAGTAGCCAGGCCTCTGTGTTCTGGCAAGGAGTGTTTGAAGGCACTGGCCAACCCCTCTTGTTCATCCCCAGCACCTGGCATTCAAAGGTATACTGTCTCCAAATAACCTATGTTCTGTGGGCAACTCACAGAAAATTATCATTTTTTTCAAATATATATATATTAAAATACAGTTATCAGAACAGTAGAAAACAGCATGAAATGTTCTACCCCCACCTTGCAATGGAAGAAATAAACCAGTTGGTCAAAATGGGTATACAATAAAACAAAAATAATAGATTGAGATGCTCTGACTCTTAAAATGGGAGCTGCTTATGTTCCATTTCCTATGTTCGGAACAATGTTGTCATGCTGCTTCTTAGCCAGCAAGCTAAAATGACCTTTCAAATAAGCATATGGTCATTACCCATACATATAAAAACCAACAAAAAACCCCAGGGGTCATGGCATATCTGTAATTATTCCCTCTGATTTCTACACTTAATTCTTTCTACCACTTCAGAAAGGCACGAAAGATAAAGAAGCAAATAAGGAGAGAATATGAAGAAAGTGGTTGTGGGAATGGAAAAAAGAGAAAAGGAAAGAATTAACTTGGTGCCCAAATCCAAATCCAGATTCTCCAGTTTGGGTTTTCGTGTGGATGCTCCACCCATTTATTTACTAAAGGTAGAGAAGGCTAAGGGCTCTCCCATGTGAGGCAGTTAAAAATAGGAATGTCCCTTGCATGCCTACTGTACATAGAACTTCATTAGGAAACAGACACCAGACTCTCAGCACACACACGAGTATAAAGGCAAAAAGCTGCTTCATATATTGCCGGAACATAGATGTTACGACCCCAAGAGAGTCCACTAAGGATGGCTCTTGATTTTTTGAGGAAACCAAACAGAAAAAGCAAAAAACAGCTGTTGGCCACGGGCAGGGGGAGCATCTCTGAATACCAGACGCTAGAAGCAAACAATAGTGAGTGAAGGCCTTTATATCCTGCTTCCCTGCTTCCCAGAGGCATCGGGGGACTGACCGCCTCTGGGATGCAGCGCTTGCCATGCAACCTGTCTGATCCACGTGGAAAGCCAATCTCATGTCACGGCACTGCTATGTTTCAGTTGCTACCATGAGTGTCTCTCCTAGAGAGCAGGCAGCCTGAGAGCCTGGCCTTCCCGCTCTGCTGTGTGGCTTCTGGTGGTGGTGCCGAGCCACGCAAGACGGCCCCTGTCAGAGAGAGGCAAGCAGGCAGGCTGGCAGGCTGGTTCTCTCGTTGTGGTTTGTGTTCACTCCCTAGCTTTCCTGGGCTGAATTGGCACCTGCAAGTTATGCTTCTCTACCAGCAGGAAGTGCCTTAGGCTTGACTCGGCAGTTCTCGGAAGTCGCTGACAAGAGCTTGCGATTGATTAGCCTCCTGTGGCTTCAGTTTGTAAGTTATGCACAAGGAGTCCTGAAGCCATATCTTCCAACCCAGTCCTGCTCTGCGCTTTTGGGCTAAAGTAACTGAGAGAAGAAGGCACTCTGCGTATGCTGAGAGGCACTCCTCTGTTCTGGTTTTCCTCGGCCTGCCATACGCCCGGATTTTCCTGGGATTTCAAAGGCGGAATTGATGTGGGGTTGTTTTTTTGGTGTTTTTGTAAAAATAAAGCTCAACTTTCAGGGTTTGTCTAAAAAAAAAATCTCAACAACTTTCGGGGTGTCCTGGCTTTTACTTTTTGAAATCCGGCAACTCTAGGTTTTTCACGGCCCATCACTGAAACTTGGCATAAAAGGAAATAAAATTTGAGGTCTAAGGTAGTTTGTCCAACTTATCTTGAGGAGCAGGAGATTTGAGGGTGGGGGCCGCGAGAGTTTTAATAGCACAAGGATGGAAGACTGAAGAAACCCCAACTAAAGAATCATGGCAAGAAAAATTGATGGACTATGCAGAACTGGCAAAACTGACATACAAGCTACGGGACAAGGATAACTATGACTTTAAAGATGAATGGGAACCCTTTACAAAGTATTTGAAGATGCAACAAAGCGAACGGGACTCCTTGGCTGGTGGTTTTGAATAAACATTCACAAACTTTTTATTGATAATAATCAGCTAAATAGTTTGAGGATCTATACAACTGTGTAACATGCAGAAAACAGCATTTTTAGAGAAATCAAAGACTGGAACTGAGGGAAGTCGGTGGTGGGGGGTGGGGGGGTTCTGTGGGGGGAGGGAGGGGGAGGGAGGAAAAATGGGGAGGGGAAAAAGGATGATATGTTTCTGGATATGTTTTGTTTTAATTTTGAATAAAAAGTAATTTTTCAAAAAAGGAGATTTGAGGGTGGGGGCAAGGGAAAAACCATCCCAGAATGTGTTCACGGTGGACATATAATGAGCACCTGTGGGTTTCTAAGTTTATTGATTGGATCTCAAAATCGGGTTATAAGGGTGGTTGGGTTATTTCCTGGTTCTGAGAACAAAAGTGAAAAAGGAGGGAGCCTGGAGCCTCCCTCCTGTGCCAATTTCCTGGCTTTGCCACTGAGTCACTCTGTGAGCCTTGGCGAGTCACTTCCTTTCATTGTGCATCATAGTTTTTGCTTCAAAAGCAAACAAAACCCATCCCCTCGGTCTCCTTATCCCGCCCCCACCCAGGCTTCCTGTGCTGTTATAAATTATTCTCCACATCCCACAGCCCGTAGCCCCGGAGACAGAGGAAAAAAGGAGGCGTAGAGGGAAAACACCAAGTTCCTTTCCCCAAACACTTCAAATCCCTCTGTTTACCAGGGTCTTTAACAAGACAGATAAGCGAGGACTGTAATTTCTCTAGAATTGCTCAACCAACTGCTCAGAAGGAGAAGGAATCCTTTTCCTGTATCAGCATTGGGAGTGATGTGGTGTTGATGTGGTGTTTGGCCTTGGATGAACTAGGTTTATAGACACACTACAAGTATCTGTGGGAAATGCTGGCATCATAGGTAAGCTATATAAGAGATAAGCTATATCAGACAAACGACTCGCTTCAGGTTTTGACATTTTCATCACAGTCTATGGCTTTTTAAATGCTTGTGGGAGGAGGGTTATTGGTTCGTTTTATCATCTATTTTGTGTCCTCATTTTGTATTTTTCTGTTGTGAACAACTCTGGGATCTTCAGATGAAGGGCGGTATACAGGTTTTAACAACAACAACAACAACACCCAGGGTAAAATGGGGCTAGGTCACAGCATATCATATAGTAAAGGTAAAGGTAAAGGGACCCCTGACCATTAGGTCCACTCATGAACGACTCTGGAGTTGCGGCGCTCATCTCGCTTTACTGGCCGAGGGAGCCGGCGTACAGCTTCCGGGTCATGTGGCCAGCATGACTAAGCCGCTTCTGGCGAACCAGAGCAGAGCATGGAAACGCCATTTACCTTCCCGCCAGAGCGGTACCTATTTATCTACTTGCACTTTGACGTGCTTTCAAACTGCTAGGTTGGCAGGAGCAGGGACCGAGCAACAGGAGCTCACCCCGTCATGGGGATTCGAACCGCCGACCTTCTGATCGGAAAGTCCTAGGCTCTGTGGTTTAACCCACAGCACCACCGACATCCCTTATCATATACTGTGTCTCATATACTGTGCTGTAAAAGCAGTATATACTCTTGCCCATTTCCAGAGTGTCTCTCAGCAGGCTTCTAAAAAGAAGCTCTTTCATCTCAGGGACAGTATAATACTGTATACAGTCTGCAAGATTATGACAGAAATG